AAAGAGGGAAGTCTGGGCATCTTTGCTTAGACTGCTGCCCCCGCGACCCGGTCCCGGATAAGAGGAGGAAAATGGATGGATGGATGGAGGCTGAATGTGATCTTCTACTGTGTTATATTAATATACAGTAGGCTATGTACCCTGGGCTCCCTGTATGGCAGTACTGATACTAAGTGAATTATTCTGGTGAAAAGTAAAGTAAAGTAAATTAAAATCAACTGTAACCTCAGTGGTTGACATTATTCTGTATAGGTTTATGTTCAGATTGTTGCTTCTTTACAGGCAATCCTGAGTTGTTACCCATTTCCGAGACATGTATTAAATTCATTGGTATTGCTGCTTTTAGCAGCTGCACTTGGCAGCTGGTACATATGCAGTAGGAGGTAAGGAGGCATTGAAGATCGTTTATGAGATAAGGAGGCATCACTGTAACACCACTGAATAATCAGAGAGAACTGGGTGTTTCTCTGTAGTTTGAACATCTCAGAGTGACACGTATTAACAGGTAAAACTATCAGCCGATCTCACATCAGTGATGGAAATGTAGCACATTCTGTACGCACACAAATGGTTATGAAGATTTGTTGTGTGTTCTTCAGTTCAACAACAGTTAAAAGTGTAACATTACAAATTATGCACTGATATCTGGAATAGTAGTTTAACTATTCAAAACTGTTTTACACTGAAAGTGGATTTTTCAAAGTTTCAATTTTGGGTGCCAGCCCCACTTCTACCCAGCTTGAGCATCACCTGCTGAATAAAGTTTAAAGTGTATTTCATGCACTTGGGGTATTCCAGGTGCAGAACATGCAACAGTCAAAAAAGGACACAGAAGGCCTGAGCTGAGGTGGGTTGGCCACTTCATTCATCACTACACTCTCTTCCAAGATGAGGCCCACTCTGGATGGGTTGAGCTGAGGATTTTCTTGATCAACACAGAACATCATATAAACTACACTGACAGTAATTATTAAAAAGTCTATACTGGTCTTAAATTGACTTTTCATCAACTGCCATAATTGGATCTGTACATTACATGTACTGTTTGCAACCTCTCTCTTCCACTCTGTACTCTCTTCTCTCAACAAAATTAAAATAAATAAGTGAAAACCCAAGATTATCTTTAATGTTAATTTGAGCCCATTCATACATTTGTGGTCAAATCTTTTCAGTTTCTGTTGTGTCATAATTCAATAATGCAGATATTCAAAATTGTTTTAAGTTAAAATTTAACAACAGACTATATAGCAGAGTATAATGTGTGCAAGTGTAAGCCTTGTCATAATGGAGGGACTCTCGCTCTCCTAGAAACAAGATGTGGGTGTCTGTGTATAAAGTTGGACTTGGGACAATGCGATATGAGTCTAAAATAGGGGAAACAAAACGTAAAATTACGAGAAAAGGGGGAAGTGTATTAATAATGGTAATTGAGAAGAGGAAGAGTGGTTGCTAAGTAACGTTGATGGGAAGGCGGGACAACCACCCGAGTACAGTTTCCGGGTTAGACAGAGGGAAAACATATGTGTAGCGTAGGTTATCTGACTGCACCAGAGTGCAGAGGAAGAGTGTGTGCTAAAGTTGTGTCGAAGTTCTGTTGACACTGTGGGAACGTTTGCTGGACTCCAGTTGGAATAAGGAGGGGACACTTCACCGGTGTGGCAATCATAGGGATGTCACTGGTATGTAAATTGTTTTATGTAAAACGGAAAGAGTGTTTTATCGCTGTGTTCAGTATGATATGCTAATTAGCGTGCGGGTTTATCGTCTTATTCAAAGTAGCGACGTTTGTACTTTGCGTTATGTAAGTTAGCTTATGTGAAGTCATTTATACAGAGTGTAAACACTGTATTTCATTAAGATTTAAGTTAAACCTTCAACATACAGTATTGTTCAAAATAATAGCAGTACAATGTGACTAACCAGAATAAGCCAGGTTTTTAGTATATTTTTTATTGCTACATGGCAAACAAGTTACCAGTAGGTGCAGTAGATTCTCAGAAAGCAAACAAGACCCAGCATTCATGAT